AAAAAAAACAACAACAACAACAAAAACCCAGTAACTACTACCTTTAGATATTACCAAGATAAGGAGATGCATACAAATCTTTTGGAAGAAGTGGACAAAGTAAGTGCAACTGAATGTTTGCCATTATTTGTCATGGTTCCACTCTTTACCATAGTAATATGCATGTGTCATTGCAGTTTACAAGTTATGTGTGGCAGAATTTCAAAGTTGTGTGAGGAAGCAAAGGCTACATTTTTTATGGCTCCTTAATTTTTACCATCATGCAATTATTTTCCAAATTTTGCAACAGTTAAATTCATCTGTTTCCTAACCCATCCAATTGGTTCTATCTCCCTACCCCATAACAGACAGTTAGCTCTAGTGCAAATGAGGTTAGAATATATGGTACTTGAGGTGAGGAAGTTAGAGTTCAGTCATGAAGATTTACACAAAAATAGTAAATGAAGCAGTACTGTACACTCACAGTATAGTATCATTTTGTACTTTACACTACACATATTGTGGGAGAAGAGGAGGTAGGAATTAGCACAATTATGTGGGGGTATGTTGGGAGAGAACACTAAAACAATAATAATCAGATACAAGGTGCACTAGGGAACAAAAAGTTCCAAATCTACTTGTCAGGTAAAACAAAGTCATTCTTCTTAGAACTAAAGATCAGTTCATATTTGCTATGCAAAGTTTACTGCAATGAGGTTGAAACTTAAGGTCAAAAGTTTAGTAATGACTCAGCAGTGAAAACAAAAACAACAAAAGTAGATAATATGTTAAATAGAGAGAAGACCAAAAAGACATTCTTGATTGACATCCAGTTTCCTTCCTAAAGGAACTTTTTCCTAAAAGAACTTCAATACTTTCCAGTACCACTCTTCTGACACTGCTCATCTGCCTTAGGGACAAATAACTCCACACCATGCTTCAAGGTGAGAAAGATAATGACAATCTCGCATGGTCTGCCAGAGACTGGTTAGAAGAGCAGGTGACTTTCTGAATCTGTGAGAAGCTAATGAGAGATGTGCTGAAGATTTGGGGAAATGTCGTCTTCCAAATCCCAGGAGATCTTCTGTAACACAACTTTTGTTCCTTATTGCAGGGTGTGACCAAAAACTGTATAACTTTGAATGCTGATGGCAGCAGCTTTGATTATGAGGGTAACTCCATCAATATGTTAAGTACTGTGGATAGCAAGACAGATGGCAAAACTAGCTAACAATACTGTCTATTGCACTAAACAACCCTGAGAGAAATCAGGATGGGAGCCAATAGATTCCTTTCCTACTTTGTATCAGACAGCAGTTCTTTCACTTACATCTGAAGGCATGTTAAATTATATTAAATGACATCAAGAAAAAGGACTGGTGAAGAAACAAAGCTGTGATGGAAAGTTATTTTAAAGCTTGGCGTCATAAGACCTACTTGATCAGGACAGCTTTTTAAAGACTTGTACTCTGGTCTAACTAGACTATATCAAGACAGAATGTTCATAATTCTCCAACTAAGAAAACTGCCCTGCTGACTTTGTATAAATGAAGTAAAAAAAAAAAAATCTTGGAAGAGTTCTGATGGGGTTTGTCCTTGCCTCAGAGTCACACTAAGTCTCCAAACTGATCCTTGGTGTTTGTACTTAATTCCTCCAGTTTTGGATCCTTATCTGCTGTTAATAAAGAAACTGGTTGCTCCATTCTTCAGTTCTGATGTCTTTCAGCAACTTTATCTGATAATCAGTATCTCCATTTATCTTGGAAATCTTGACTTTTCTGGACACTGGTCACCACTTAACCAGACCACCAACAAAAGAACCTTGTTTCTTAGTGAGGCTCTAAGTCTGCACTTTGGCTGCTGAACTCTGAATCATATTGCCATCTTACCTCAATAAAGTAAGCATGCTGGGACTTTAAAGAATGTACAATTTCATATTATATTTCTGAACATAACAGAATTTTTTTATTTTACAGTGAGTATATGAGTATGAATCAAGTAAAAACATGTAACTCACATGTCCCTATTTTATCAATTCAATTAAATATTTTATTTTTGGTTGTGAGCCTAGCCTTTAACGGCTGAGCCATCTCTCCAGCCCCAATTAAATATTTTAAAATACTTAAAATGTCCAGTTATGGCATTAATCTGTTACAGTTTTTATAATTTCATAAGCTGGAAAAATAACATGATTTTATAAAGATACTGTATGTAGTATTTTATGTTAGATTCATAAGGTATTACAAGAGCAAAGCCATCATCACGCTTAAAAAATCAAGTTATGGTAGAGATCATTTTCAGAGTAGACTGACTTTTGTCTGGAATATAACACCTGCCCAATATGAACTGGGTATCCTAGCCACGGAGGTCTTACCTGAAGCCCCAGCGTCCTGATGCTTCTCTTCAGGCTTTCCATGAGACCTGAGAGCTCTTTGTTCATCCACCTCATCATCTCCCCACCATGACGGCTGTCCATATAATGGAGTGCCACGGGGCATAGCAGAAACATCTAAAAGAAGCGGGGGGAAAATCTCTCTAAAGCAAATGAAGTAAGAAAATATATTTTGCATGACTCTAGATTTACTTAGTTGACTCAAAGTACTCTACTTCCATTAATGTAACATTTGAACATGACCTTAAACAGCACTAGACATGACAAAATAAATGAAGATCAGCAATGACTAAGAAATACAACTTGCTCTATATAAAATCCAAAAGCTTTTTGCTAAGTGTTAGGGGCTCTCTGATATGTAAATGAGCCTAGGTAACAAATGATCTTTGAGTATATAGACAGGAAGTATCTTAGGTAAAAGAATTTTGTTAGAATTAACAAAGGAATAATGAAACTATTCCGATCAAAAATGTCATTAAATCTAAATATATAAAAGATGAAACTAAAGCAAATATTGGCATGAGCAACAACATAAGGGTATCATACAGTAACTACATTTGTAACTCAATACTAACAGACCTTTAGTTTCAGTAGCTGTAGTTCTGTTTATCAATTTAATACATTTGTTATGTGAAGGAATTATCTACATAAGGCATCTTTGTAGTTATTAAATTTAATATTTAATCTACAAATTAAAACTGTAAGCATTATATAATATGAGGATGGTGTAGTAGTATTACATTTTCCCCTTTTATTTCAATTATAATTCAGAGAAATATAGATAATATGAAATAATAAACTATTATTTCCTTCAAGTATTGAAATCACTTTCCTTAAATATTTAATATATTTAAGAGTTATTTCTAGGGAAAACTGGCTATATAAAAATGCACTCTGGGATCAATCACTAGTATACATTATTTTTATACAGGTATAGACACAAATGAGAACAAAGAATGCAGTATCTTCAAAACCAAGTATAAATTCAGAATTTCCAAAGGAGTTAGCTTATTGTAATGTAAATTATATTGACAATGATCATGTGCTGTTACTGTAATGTACATTATTACTAACAAACTGTTTATCGTGTGTTGTTTCAGGTCATTGAGAAGCTAGCTCTTGAGCTGGGGAAGACACCAATCCTCACTTTAGACCCCAAGTGGGTTTGACTCAAAGTGTCCTTTAAGGTCTAGGGATGGGTTAGTCCCCCTAACTCTGACAGGGAGGGAGAGAAAAATAAAAGAGCCCAAAAGTAAAACATGTGTCCTTGAGGACAGCTAAAAGGTCAACTATTCCCAAGAGAGGTTATTATTGTTTATCCCGTAATATGGAAGTGTCTGCAGACGAAGAGAGAAGCTGGAAACAGAACTCTGGAAAGCTGAGCCACTGAGACAGCTCAATTGAGAACTGCAGCTGACTGCCTCAGTTTCCCCAGTTAGTTTCTGCTGGATATTGTGAACAACCTACTAGATGACGCTACCTTTCTATATTTTAGCTGTTGTTACTTCGAAGCCTCACCCCAAGGGACAGTCTATTCTGCCTGGGACTTGTACTGGGAACTCTAGTTGGCTGCATTAAAGCTGCTTCCACAGTTGGTTTCTCTGAGTACCGAACTTGATGATCTTTTCCTTTCCTGCTTCCCCTCTTCCTCCCCTCCCCTTCCTCCCCTCTCTCTGAACAGATAGATAGCTATGGCTATTGTAGATCATCCTCCAGATCATACAGACCACTTACCCATGGATTTCTCCTCTGATTTCAGAGCTTCTGTAGCTCTGTGCTGCACTTCTGGAGTAGTATCCACTTTTGAATCTGTGCCTTTAGCACTTGCCAGTTTTGGTAGTTCTGATTCTGAAGACTTCTGGGACAACTGAAGCTGAATGGTAAACTTCTCATGCTACAAAACATTTCATATCAAAAGGAAGCTTACATGAAAGAAGTCAACTGTAGGGAGTAATAGGCTAACAACAAAGATAAACTCTTACCTTAAGAGCTTCTTCAGGGACCCTCATTTCTCCTCGAACTACAGTGAAGAGATTTGTATGTAAATAGAGCTAAGGAAGAATAGAACTCCAAAATTTTGGTCACTGTGCTTGAAAATGGTCATTAGACACACTTTGGAAACTGTCCTTTTTCAAGAGTAAATATAGAATTATTTTTATTTACCATCTATTTGTACAGGTACTGGGGATTAAACCCAGGACCTTGCATATGCTAAACAAGTACTCTATCGCTGAACCACATCCTCAGGTTAAAAAAAAAATTTTTTTTTTTATAGACAAGGTCACTAGGCTGTCCTCAAATTGAGATTCTTCTGGCAGCTCACAGAGAACCTGGAATGTAGAATGTGCCTATAATACTCCCTTTAATATTAAAAAGTATTTAAAATATATAAATTGTCATTTAAAAATATTAAGAACCTTAAAATTCTAATAAGCATTTGTAATCTCAGGCAATACTAGTCTTCAAACAATTAGAGCCCAAACATTTTTAATTTTCACAAACACGAATATGACAGGAACAAAATGAAGAAACTTATAGATACCTAGTCACAAAAGTGTAAAAATGTCTCATGAGTCAATACCCAACAGCAAATCCTGAAGGAACTGATTACTCAGGTTGCCATAAACTTTGATAAAAATGAGGTTCATTTTCTAAGTACAAAAAAATGAATGCTATAATTAGGGTTCATATGCAACCTTACCACCCCCTTCCCTCCATGTACTGCAATAAGGTCATATTACATAATAAAACAATGATTCTATACACATGAGAACAAGTGCTAGATATAATGAATGCTTTCATTATTATGCCAAAACAACAAGGCTTCTTACTAAAGATCAATTCACTAGAGGTCTTATTTCCTACCATTTAACCTTACAATGAAAGAAATTTTATAATCACGTACTGAATTCTACCCTCCTTTACTAATTTAAAGCATTATCAATTATTTCAAGGTTAGGAAAAACTGTAATCACCGTGACGTGTGTGTGTGTGTGTGTGTGTGTGTGTGTGTGTGTGTGTGTGTGTGTGT